TAAATTTCATCGTCGCGGTCGCAAGTCGGGCACAAGGCGTGCAAACAGAGTTGTTGAGAAAATAAAATAACGGGGCGAAGGAAAGGGTGATCCGTTCGATCCGAAGATCTTGTAATTGTCGACACAACCTCGACAACGAATAATGGAATAATCGTGCGATTATTCGTTTCAATTCAATTCAGATTTATCGCGGTGTTAATATCGAACGTATCGATTCGTTTCCATCATTCATTTTAGCGAGGATCGTTTCTTAATTAAATTCAATCTTAACGACGATTTCGATCCGATCCATTCGACTTCCTCGCCCCGACTTATCGATTTTCCCCGTGGAAAACTTCGCCACCACTCCCTTCGACGACTCTTTCCTTAATCCCCCCCCCCCCGAAATAACCTCACCCCCGCCCGAAACTCGAGACGCAAACTTTCTTTTTATACCAAAACCTTCCTCCTCTCCTCCCCTCTTTTCGGTTTAATAAACGTTTCCATCGAGTGTCGCTTAATTTACATGTATACATAGAAATTGCTTTCATAAGCGGATGCAGGGTTGTAAAATATTAAGGGGAAGGTATACGTAGGTTCAGCCAGGGGGAATTAAAAATTCACGTATCAAGTTTGCTTGGTTCCTGGGATCCGGGAGGGGTTTGCAAGAATTAAGAGGCTTATCCTCGTAACCAAGAAAAGAAAAAGAATCGTGGAAATTTTGTCTCATCAAACGCAGAAGAGATCTATCTATCTCTCCTGCTTATACTTACTTTCTTACCAATAGTCGAAAATTATTAGCTATCAGTTGTGGAATTCTTACGAAAAAAAAAAAAAAAAAGAACACGATTCCCCTCTCACGATTTGTTCCCACCGATGGAAAAGAGGTAATGCTCCGCAATGATCCGCGCGAGTCTTCTATTCCTCGTCGTAGATCAATCCATCCGCTCGATTCCTCGAGATCGAATTTGTTTCGTCCTCGTCGCCTCGCCACTCGATCGTATCCATCTCGTCGAGTGCACTTCTCCCGTTCGACGATGAATAAAGGGGATGATGCACGTCGACGACGCGATGCACCAACGCCCCTGCGACGTATCCCATCCATCCATCCGACGACGCGATCGCGAAAATGTTTGGACAAGGGGGTGGAAAATGTTACGAGAGAAATTAATAATTTCGAGGGCGAGGGTATAATAAAGTTCAAATTCAACTCTTTTCGAGCCGAGCTTTTTAATTTTACTCGACTCTCTCTCTCTCTCTCTCTCTCTCGATAGAAATAACTACTTTTTACTTTTACTTCTTCTTCGTAGGAGGCGT